CTGTCACCGATTTCTTCCTCTCAACAGAGGCAGTGAGTCGTTGGAGAAAGGATGCACGCGTCGAGGGGAGTGGCTTCACCGCTGCGTTCGGTCGTTGGGGAAGGAGGGAGCAGGCGAATCGGGGAAGAGAAGGAGAAATATCCCGAAGAAAGGGAAGGCCTCTTCGCGAGGATGTCCACGATGATGATGGGACCTCGCGCTTCGAGTCCGATTTGAGTCCGATTTGAGTCCGTGTGAGCAACTAAATCGGATTTGAAACCTTGCCATTTCCCTAGGGCGATGAGGGCGATGAGGGCGATGAGGGCGATGAGGGCGATGAGGGCGATGAGGACTCTCGGAGAAGGGAACCTCTGCGAAAGCGTTGGCCTGATTGCCGAACCCTCGCCCACCCGTTCGCCTCCATAGGAGCACTATCAATCCTCACGGTCCAGATCCGAACAGTCATCGCCATCGGAAATCCCCGTGAGAGAGAGAGAGTGAGAGAGAGAGAGAGAGTAACAAAACAAAAACAAAAACAAAATGCACAGCCTGCTTGGCGGGTTCGCCCGTGCGGCCAATCGTCTAGACGGGAAGGTCTGCGAACAAGCGTTCCCAGATCAGGTCGCCCGGAGTAAATTTGGTCTCGCCTTAATGCCCTGACGCATTTCTCATAGACATTTTTTTTTTAACAATATCGCCGGCATATCGGTCGTGTGTGTATGACATGGGGTGCGGAAATAATGCAGCAAAATCGGTCCGGCGGCGAAGGTATAGTACATATAAATCGATAAATCAATATAGTATAATATAGTGCATATAATTGCTATCATTCGAGTCAGAGTTAACGAATGGAACGAGTCTACTGCAAAAATACTTGGGAATCCGTAGGCTTCAGTTTAAACCAGGATAACAGCTGTCATTGCCGAATGATTTGCTAACATTAAATGCAGATCATCCAGGAAATCCCTCTTTCTACGATGCCTCGAGAACCCGAGAGGAAGACCCGAGAGGAAGACCCGAGAGGAAGAGCCGAAGCAAAATGTATATTCGGTAGCGAAGGGCTATGAATAAATTCCGTTAATTTATGCCGACGGACGCAACAGCTGTTTCTGGTTATTTACGTCTCCCTATTCTATTTCCGACGATCGATCGCATACCTTCCGGACAGGAGATCGTCGATGGCCTCCGTCTGAAGCCGGTCGTCGATGACGACGAGGCGGGCGTCGAGGGCGAGGCAGGCGTCGCTCGCCCCGGCCCAGCTCCGCTTCTCGTCGAGGGGGAGGATGCAGCCGTCGCCTGGGAATGGGGTCCAGTCGGGCTCGCAGCAGGTGGGGGAGGTGAGGCGGATGTTCAAGGTGGCGACGCCGGAGGTGGAGGCGGTGAAGGAGGTCGCGGTGGTGGAGGTCGCGTTGAAGGTGGTCGTGGTGGAGGAGGAAGCGTTGAAGGAGGTCGTGGCGGAGGAGGTCACATTGAAGGAGGTCGTGGTGGAGGAGGAAGCGTCGGAGGAGGTCACGTCGGAGGAGGAAGCGTTGAAGGAAGTCGCAGCGTCCTGCGACTGGAGACACTCTGTGGATGACGAGGCGGCGAGGCACGGAGAACAATCGCGGGAGACGCAGGAAAGAGTCGCTGTCGAATCCACCTCCAGACTCACGCTCAGGCGCTGGGAGAAATTCGCAAGGAGGAAGACCGCGTCCTCCCTCACTCTCACTGGAAGACTCAGGGATTCCCAAACCGCGACGAAGCGACTTCCCTCCCGCGCGCTCAAGGAGAAGTCCGAGTCCGTGACGACGATCACACGATTATCACAAAGCGAGTCCGTCCACCGCGTCGCCACGCCGCAGCGGTCCGCGCGAGACGCGTCGAGCACGCGGAACCCGACGGGGCGAGGGGGAGAAATTGGCACGACGAATGTGCAGTTTCCCGCCCAGATTGGCACTTCCTCCGACGACATCCTCCCGGCCGACTCCTTGTACCTCAGAATGCAATCTGCGAAAAAAAATTGCAAGCTCAAAAATTCTGCTATCAGCCCTGATTGCCAATTCGCTTTAATTGGCCTTCATTGGCCTCAATTGCTGGGACCATGGCATTTAAAATAATTGCTAATTTTTAAATGCTAATTTTTCGGCATCTCCACGCAATATATAAAGCTGCAAATAGGAATGCAATGCTTGTAATAATGATATTAATTTGCGAAAAGACAAATAAATTAAAATATGAATAGCGAGAAACATTAATTATCACACTCGGCAACAAAACTCACATAATCAATAACAATCGATGCTGCTAATATAATTCCTAATTCATCCAAACGATAATACCGATACCAACAACAACTTAACCCCCGCGAAACACCTTGCCCCGTCTGAGCTACCTCGGCCTGCCCGAAAGGAAGAGCCACCGCTCGATAGACGTGACCGTGACCGTGACCGTGACCGTGACCGTGACCGTGACCGTGACCGTGACCGTGACCGTTACCGTTACCGTGACCGGCAAGTACAAGCCGCTGGAGAGCGTGGTCCGCCCGATTCTCTGGAATTCCGTGAGATCGTGGATGCTGATAGGCCGGGAGTACCGGGCCCGGTACTCGTACAGTACTGGCATGCTCGAAGTGGACCGGAACCGGACCGAAGGGCCTCGAGATCGCCGCCTTCGAGGTCCTCCCCGCCGATCGTGGCCACCTCATTAAGCCCCGAGGCACCTCATTAAGCCTCGAGCGTCTGCACGACCGCTTAACCCTGGGAATGGCCCGCAGGGTCATTCAGTCTCGGGACAAACTGCTGAAGATCGTTTTCGCTCACAGGGAATAGAGCTTTCATAACGGAAGCTGCGGAGCGGTGCGATCCTCATCTCTGTCTCAAGACGTCGCTAGGACTAGTACTAGGACTAGTACCTTTCAGGATCGATCGAAGAAATGTCGGTGGACCGTGTCAGCGCAGCAAAAAGGGCCCAGCAAGCCCATCGTTTGCAGGAAGGAGAAGAAAATGCGAGGAAGTTTCTTAAAAATGTAAAAGACCTCGGTCTCTTTCCCTACTCTCGGCTCGGCCGAAGGATTCGTCGCAGCCTCACATGGGATCGACGAAGATCCTGCGATCCTGCAGAAGTCGGTGGTCCAAACGCAAGGATCGGTTGGAATCAGGCTCGCTCCACGACCGGACGACTCGCTGCTGCGGAGCCGGACTCTTGTTTCATGCGGCTGCGAAGGAGATCGAATGCGATCGAATTCTCCAGCCGCGTCGGAGGGGGATGTCTCCCGCAGAGGAGGAGGAAAAGAGATCGAAACGACGAGATCTGTCGGTCGAGCTTCGAGGTCATACGGTTACCGTGGGCACCTCGACGTCCCGACGGTGGGACGTCTTGGCAGCGTGAAGGACACGCCGATTACAGAGCCGGAGAGGAAACCGGTTTGCAGGTCTGAAGCAGACTCGTTGGCCTGCTGCGTGCAGAAGGCCTTCCTTCTGGGCTCCATGCAGCTCCTCTGCATCCGCGGACAGAGTTCCTCAGCTGAGGCACCTATCGCCACCTATCTCCACCTATCGCCACCTATCTCCACCTATCGCCACCTATCTCCACCTATCGCCACCTATCGCCGCCTAGTGGGACCTTGCCAGTTCCGTCCCGTGTGCCCGTTACCTTCGAGGGTCACACTAGAGCCCCGCAGGGAGGGATGAAAGAGGGTAACCGGTACATTCCACCGATCACAACGTGTGTTGAACGATAATAATACCATCGGTCGAGAGTGAAAACGGAGCCATTCCGCGGTTGTTTGACCTTTTTTTGAGCAGTGACCTTGAATTTTAAAATAAATAGTTTCCCTTGAAGCTCTTTAGCGTCGGCGGGGTGAGCTCGGCAGCAGTTCCCGTCCGTTTGATTAAATTTCTCGGTGGGTTAATATGAGGTTTTCCATGGTAAAGAAGGAGTTCCATTAGAGAACAGAAATTTTTTTGCTCTTCCCGTACTTTCTTTAAATTTTGCTTATCGAGGGTGAGATCGATGCGGTTTCTTTTTCCGGGAGGATAAATTATTTGGTTCGTACTACGTGAATCCACCAGGATTTCCGGCGTCGCGGATCGATAAGAAGGGGAGGGGGGAAGGGGGTAAGGTGGGAGGAGGAAGGGGGTAGGGTGGGAGGAGGAAGGGGGAATTGTAAGCGAGTGGGAAGAAGTTTGGACAATTAAGGGAAATTTATTCATGGGAGGGGAAGGCGGGGTTTCCTTCTGCTTGGATTCGTCGCAAAATTGCTACTAAACTGCGTAGCTTCTTTAAAGATGTTCCTCCACCTGAATGGACTGTCAGAGGGAAAAATTCCGCCCAATCCCCGACAAAGGCGCTCATTAGTTAATGCAGCCCTGAGAGGAGCGAATGTGCGATGGGGCTTCAGGACGTGCTGCGACTGCAAGGAGGTACATGGGAGGCATGGACGACCGGGAGGTCATGGGGAGCATGAATGGCATGGGAGGTCATGGGGGGCATGAATGCCATGAGAGGGAAGGGAGGGCATGAAGGTCCCATCCTCCATCGAGAGTGGGAAAGCTTCCACCTGCTGCTGCTACGACGGGCGGCGCTCCGCTTACCGCTGAGAATGGGCAGAGATATGGCCGATGAATAATGTCTTCCATCTTTTCTCCGAATCCCTTCCAATCTGAAATAGAAACCGCATAGCCCTACTCATTTCGATGCGTCAAGGATGATGTTTCCATCTTCGTTTTGGAAAGGTTCCCATTAATCTTCGACAGAGCAATTTCTGATGGACTCTTCCCGCACATTACGGAGACGAGAAAAATCCTCAGCACGACCAAAAATGCGACAACTCTCAATTTACATTCATTTACATTCATCTTACAATTTCACTGTTCCCAAAACGAGATTCAAACATTTAAATTATTACTTAAATAACTCTGGCGAAAGACGAAATCCTTACCGAAAAGTGACGAAGGCCCGCTCGTGCCTTGCGACCGGCAAGACCCACTGAAGGACCAGCCCTTGGACCAGCCCTCCCGGATGAACCGCGGACGAGGGCATCCCCCGACACGGTTCCCAGGTGGATCCCAGGAACATCCCCAGGGAATCTCCATCCTTCCCATGGCTGACGATCACCAGGGAATCCATCTCCTCCGCAAGCTTCACCGTCACTGCGACGAATTTATGACAACATTATGACGAAATTGCGACAAAATTGCGACAAAATTGCGACAAAATGAATTTTTCCCTTTTAAAAGTATTTTTCAACAAAGCAAGAATTCGCGCTCCGGCTCCTGCTGAAACGCGAAATTTTCAACCTACACTGCAAATCTGTTTCTTTCGTCGACCAGACCATGTTACGGGAAGGTGCACTTTTAAGGCCGCCATGTGAGTTGCCCCGTCGCTTCAGTAGAGGCACGATGAATAAGGCATCAGGAATAACGAAGTCATTCCAAGAAGTCAGCCATAATGCAAGAAATCCATGCATAAGGAAGAAAAGACGGTATGATAAATGCATCTCCGCGACAATAAACCCAGGAAGTAGAGAAGGTCGAGAGGATTCCTTTGACGTCACGGGAAAGACCTTTAAATGCACTATTCATATAAGGCATGCATCATGCGGCATGCATGATGCACGATCGTGATGGACATGAATGCTCCATGCACGAGAGGAGGAAAGGAGGACGGGAACGGAAGGGATCGATGGGGGGAGGGAGGCATCCTCGCGCTTTGTGTCGCAGGTGTTGCTACGCTGGCCTTAATTCGCGCCTCGCTCTTCGGGGATGCATCTCAATTTCGGTGAGCGACGTCGCCGTGGTGATGGGGGACTCTCGGGGGGGCGATTCCCTTCGATGAATCTCAAGGGGAAATACGGTGAAAAAAATGATTAAACCCTAGATTAAACGTTGATGGACCTCCGGATCTCCGAGGGATAATCCCGGATGCATGAATGATTCATGAGAGGTCGCTATCGCGAGGCGTTGTTTCCGCTCTCGAGCATCGATTCCCCAAGCCCACGCCCGCTTATCGGGCTGTACAATGGAACAGTCCTTCCCCTTTCCCTTTGTGCCAGATACACGGGCGTCCGTCGATGCGGCCATGCCTGTCGATGCTGCCATATGCATGTCGATGCTGCCTTGTCTGTCGATGCTGCTATTTGTCCTTCTTTCTCCCCCCCTCTCTTTCTCTCTTTCTCTGACCTGATATTGACAAACGGCTGATGAGGGAAATTCCTCGGATGCTCATTGCGGCCACGATGCCACCGCGTCCAGTAGCATTATAGACCCTCGGACGAGAGTCATTCGAGCCCAGACCCACTCGGGTCCCATGGAATGCCATCGGTATTTCGGACTCTTCATTTAATGACAGTCTCGCTGACAGCGGTCCCTTACAAAACGGGCACCAAAGGTGCACCTCCCTATCAACCCGGTTGTGCAGCCAGGTGAATGCACCTGGCTGCACAACCGGGTGGATAGGGCGTGGATTTGGAACCAGGTGAACATTCCACCCGGTGTAAATCCACCTGACCATTCGCGAAAATGTATTTCTAGCCTGGTGGATTGTCCCCCAGGTGGATTATCCCCCAGGTGGATTATCCCCCAGGTGGATTATCCCCCAGGTGGATTATCCCCCAGGTGGATTATCCCCCAGGTAGATTATCCCCCAGGTGAACATTGCTCCAACAAGTAGAAATACGCCTGGGAAGACATCCACCTGGTTCCAAATCCACATGGGAGATGGACGTTTTGTTAGGGGTGGCCATTTCATTTTAAAAGGATTAGCTCCTTGGTAAGTGGTAAAAGTGATAAAACGGAGCAAAATGTGGGACGATGCCAAGCAGTTGACCGCTGGGTCAAAAGTCGCCGTCGAGCCAAAATTCCTTGCTATAATGTTCCAGCCACGACTTGACCTGCTAAGCACGTCGACCTTGCTTTTCTGCTTAGCAGCAGTACGTGTACAAGACATGCAAAGCCTTGTACTGCTACTGCACGCCAATTTTTGTTTGGCACAAAGAATGCCTTAGGTTTCCTCTTTTTGCGGAAGCTTTTGCATTTCACTTCCAAAGTTTTTAAGCAAACAACTGGAAAAAAGTCAAAATCTAGCCGATACCAGCGTTACAGTTGCGACCATCCGGTGACCATGGTGACCATCTGGTGACCATCTGATGCTGCCGCCCGACCGAAGGACTCTAAAAGCGGATCGATAGGAAAGCAATCCCTCCAACGAAGGACAATGAAATCCAATGAAGGGCAATCAATCCAAGAAAGGGCAAAGGCACTCGAGTGAAAGCTCCCGTGCATCTTGCACCCTGCCGTTTCAATTTAAATCTTTGTGATGAGAGTGGGCCATTCGCTTCGAGAAGGAAATGGCTTTCGCTCAAAAGCCGATTGTTCCCATGGGAAGAAAAGGCAGAAGGAGGAAAGGTGGCAGGTGATCTGCAGGGATGCTGGATGTTGTCTACAGGGATGTCGGCAGAGCTTTTGTCTGCTCTCTTGACTGATCGTCATCGCCGGGAAAGGCGATGAGTAATCGAGATCGGCGAATCCATTTTTTTTCGTGTTCATTGTTGATGGAGTGCTTCGCCTTATTTTTTGACGCGGCGACAGAGCAGAATTTTCCGGCAGGACGCGTTTATCATTTCGTTTCTGGCAGTCCTTAATTTCCCCGGTGGTCTGACATTAATCTCCTTGTCTTACTCAGGTACTATGTCAGTAATAATTTGAGGACGGAAAAAAAGTACAGTAAATAATGAAACGGACAAATGAACGATCACAAGACCCCGGTCTATCAAGACTAATTTATGGACATGTTCTTCTCAGAGCGAATCGACAAAGGGCTTCCTCCAAAATTTCTTAAGCCGAAAGTAGCTTCCATCAGTCAAGACCGAGTCATATATAGTGCATGCCTACCTGAATAGTTGATGGCGGGAAGGATCCCGTGAAGGGAGGAGAGACGGGGGTGTTCCACCGAAAGCACTTCACTGCGAGGGGATTCCTTCACTCCAACCGTCCGCATGACGGCACGGCACAGCGGGTGATCGCGAGGAGGCCGAGCCATCACGCACCCGATGATGAAGAAGGAGGAGGCGAGGAGCATGGCGAAGGATCATGCTGAGGGTCCGGCTCCCGGGAAACTACTGCCTGCTGGTCCGCTGTCCCGCATGGCCTCCGTTCGGGTTTTTTCCCCCTGCGCAGGCGTTCTAGTGCGTTGTGATCTTCATGCAGGTGGGGATTTTTCCGTGTTCCGTAGGGTTTTTGTGGGATTACCTGGCTCGATGTCTTCGGGATCGAATGCGCCCTAGGGTGAGGGTAATTGGATTTTTCCCGCACATTACGGAGACGAGAAAAATCCTCAGCACGACCAAAAATGCGACAACTCTCAATTTACATTCATTTACATTCATCTTACAATTTCACTGTTCCCAAAACGAGATTCAAACATTTAAAT